ATCTCTAGTTCTGTTTTAGATATATGGCACCTCATTTATTGCTGAGATATTGGAACGGTTCAGCCTCACGTAACTTCACCACCATTTTAAACATCTATGAAACTATTTCTTCTAGAATTTTCTATATACATGCACACACATTATGGACTTAATTGTTCAACCCTTACTGATGCAAGTCTATGGGACTACTCATGTGAGTAACTTTGCTCACACATGATCATGCGTATATAGCCTTTCATAAGCACTAAGTAACTTTGATCAAGCATATATAGCCTTTTCATAAGTATAAATAATTTTGCCCAGAAATAAATAGCCTTTTAGGATCAGGCATATATAACCTTTCATAAGCACATACTTTCTGTTGGTTTATTTAATCACCATGCAATTGTCCTTTAATAGCCTAGTAATTTCTAAATTATTATCAAGCTATTTGTATTACCCATACATGCATTTTGGGATAAAAAAATAAAAGTGCCTGGAAGGAAATTGTTAATTCATTTTATCGTGCCATATTCCCAGAAGTGAGATAGGGACTGTTAGGCCTGTTCTGCAGATAAACATTGACAGGCACTGAAAGACCTCATACACACATGCTCCCTCTCATATTTTCACTCTCTCTCTCCCTCCAAAAATAGGCTCCATAAAAAACAGGAAAAGTGTTTTTTGAATGACTTTATCTGAAGTGGTTTTACTGGTTCTGATAGCGAGTCTTTAATTGCCAGAACAGTGTGCTGGCAACATCAAGAGAATATTAATAACCAGCAGCTCTTACTGTCAACAGAAGAATCCAGAAGCCATTTGTTTTTTCTTCTGCACACAGCCAGGCCTTTTACATGCTATCGAAACTATCTGCCTTCAGCATGACATAAAGTCGTGGTGAAAGGTACTATTTTAGAATGTAAGTGCTTATTTCCAAGCAACAAACAAACTGCCAACTACAAATAATCACTCAGGGTGCCACAGGAGACAAGTTTAGAGATACAGATCTTTATCTCAGATATGAGATAATTCCTGCACTTCAGAGTGTAAAGTGCATTTAGCATGTGTGAAAGTCCTTAGCGTGACTTAGGAACATATCTCTAAAGACAGTTCCATATGCAGAACATATCTCTAAACACCAGTTCCAGCTCCACAGTCAATCAGGATGCCCTGTAAACATAAGGGTACTGGCTGTACATATACTTCATTAGTGTTTAAAGCAGAGAAATGCCATCAGACTGATTTCAGAAACACTAGTCAACACAATAGGACAAGGGGGGAAACTGAAATCTCAGGCTCCTGTGATTTTGATCTAATACAGTTTTTATATTTATAAAATAGAAGGCTCATTCTCATAAACATGTGAGCTGATTCTCTTTCTTCCCTGCACCACTGGTAATCAGACAGCTACTGTAGCGTTTTGATCCCCAGCATAGTATCACTTTGTTATTATTGACCGGTTAACCCATTTATACACTGAACAGGAAAACACAGTGAAGTCAGCAGGAGCTGCTCAGCACCTCTGAAAATCAGGCCACTTATTTAGGAGCCTATACATATGGACATGAAAATCTTGGCCTATATAGTCTCCAAACTGTAGTCACTTGGGCTGAACGCTTATTGCAGTGCTCACTCTGAGTAGCCAGACTGGGTTGTGAGTAGATGAGCAAGTGGGAAGAATCCTCTCTCACAGGCCTGGAGCATATGCAGAGCCCCTCCCTGGGGGCTCTGCTGAATTAGATCTCCATGATGTGGGGTGGAGGACCTGCATGGTGGCAGATCCGCTGGCCTGGCCCTCTCCTTCCCCACATCCTGCACTCTGCCATGCGGATAGCTCCTAATGAGTAGGGGTTCCCAAATCAGGAACCCAACCTTGCACTGAGAAACTGCACTTCCTCCGCTTCCAGGGGACCCTCCACAGCTTTAGGGGAAAGGACAGGACTTGTTCTTTAGTGAGAAATAACCGCTCCCAATCACGTACATTATAAATCGCTGTGGGGTTATTTCTACTAGAATGGTAGGTATAGAGAGGTATAAGGGTTTTACTAGCATGAGTTTAGGATATGCTCATAGCTCACTCATGACAGACATGCAGGAGTAATGCTGGTCATCCCAAACCATTCAGATATGTCCTACTAAGCCATCTCCCCAGAAGTTACTCTAATATTCCAAACCCTGGAGTGGCTTTGAGCAGGAGCCGTTTTTATTTGAATTGGCCTGTCAATGAACTGTTTCCTTGTTCCCACAAACTTGGAATTTCTCCTGTAAAAATTACTCCCTTCCTGGGGACTGAGGATGAGCAAGACTCAGTTCTGGGCTGATACCAGCTATTGCATAAGCTTTAGTTTCTGACATTTTATGGTACTAGAGTTATAGAAATGTGAAGATTCCCAGCTCTCAACCGGGATACACAGTACCTGCTTTTAACCCTGGAAAGGTCTGAGATCATACTCCAAAGCCAGGATATTTCATAGGTTCCTAGAAATTACCATATTGGATCAGACCAGTGGTCCAGCTAGTCCAGTTTCTTGGCTTTGACATTGGCCAGTACCAGCTGCTTCAGAGGAAGGTGCAAGAAACCTTGAAGAAATGAGTTATGGCATAGCCTGCCCGCAAGAAAAGTTTCTTCCTAATCCCCATTAGTTAGAAGCTGGTTTATTTCCCCAAGCAAAAGAGTTGATATCCCTTCAAAACCCTGAACTATTTTTAATCCTTACTCTAATAATTTGAGATATTCTTCTAATCCATATAAATAATCCTTTTCTGAATCCTGTTAAACTCTTGCCCTCAATGGTATCTTGCAGTGAGTTCTGTAAGCTAGTTGTGTTGTATGAAAAAACATTTCTTTTATCAGTTTTAAATTTGCCAACTTTTAATTTAATTGAATCTCCTTGTTCGGGAATTATAATGAAGGGTGCATAGAATTCCTGATTTACCTTCTCTATATCATTTACTATTTTGTATATATTCATCATTTCCTTTCTTGTTTGTATCCTCTGTAAGATAAATAGTGCCAGTTTTTTTCAATCATTTATCATATCAGAGTTTTTCTTATCACCTGTCTCTAAACTTAATCTATTGTTGCTGATATGCCTTTTTTGAGATAGGACAAAGTATTCCAGATGAGGGTATACCTCTATTTTATATAATGGTGTTATCACATTTTAAGTAATCTCCATCCCGTTCCTCATACAGTTTGTTTGTTTGACCACTATTGCACACTGAGCAGAGTTTCATCGAGCTGGCCACAATGATAGCCACATCTCCCTGAGCTGCTAATGCTAATTTAGAATCTAGTAACACTTCACATTATTTCTTCCCATATGTATTATTTTGTATTTGTCAGCACTGGATTTCATCTGCCATCATGTTGCCCTTTCATGTAGCTTGATTAGGTCCCTCTGATGCTTCTCACAGTTTTCTCAAGTCTTGACTAATTTAAAATGTTTTGTGTCATCTGCAAATTTTGCTACCTCACTGATCACTTCCCTTTCCAGATCATTCATAAATGTATTAATATATAGAAAAAATAGAAAAATCTAATTAGGTCATTATTGGAGGTGTTTCATATTTATGAGTGTAATTTTTCTCTTGTTCTGATTTTATATATATATTTATATATATATATGTGTGTGTGTGTGTGTGTCTGTATGACTAGGGAAGACCAAAGGGAAGCAGGTGTATACATACATATATGTCAGAGTGAGAAAATAAAATAGGCAAGTACAATTTCTTTAAACCTGTTACACTGTTTTTTTCAATCATGTTTAATCTTCATTGCCAGTCTGGTTTGTAGGATATTTTGGCTGCTCAGCTTGGGCGGGATTGGCCTGAGTAAGAAATTGGTTTGAATTTAACTTGGATTTAAATTTATTTTAAAAGACAGTGTAGATGGGACCTTTGATGAATAATGAGGACTTAGTTCCAGATCATTTTATCCACTTTCATATCACTCTGCATAGTTTTGTTGAACATACAATTACTCAAAAATGTTGATTTATTTTAAATTAAAAAAATAGAGAAAAAAGTAGAAATAATTTTGTAAAACAATAGATTATTTCTTTGTTTCTTTTTTCTTTCTTTCCTACAGTCGAGGCCTCCTGCCCTGTAGATCATTTTGTGAGGCAGCAAAGGAAGGTTGTGAACCAGTTCTGGGGATGGTGAATTCTTCGTGGCCTGAGTTCCTCAGATGCTCCCAGTTCCAAAACAGAACTGAAAATGACAACACCACGAGGGTCTGTTTCTCGCCATGGCAAGAGAGAGGAAAACAACGTACGTTACTCTGTTTTAATCATCAAATTGTATTTATTAGGTTTTGTTAATAACGCATCTTTGGGTAAAGCCTTCAAAATCAAAGCTTCCAGGGGATGAAATTGTAATTATAAGATGAGGCTGGTAGCGTGGCCTGTTGTTAAGGTAGCCCAACGCTTCCCTTTATGAGAACCTGATATAAGTTGTTGTTTTGACAAACGTTAACCATTTGTGCTGAAATTTTCCATGTTGTGTGCATGCTGGAGGCTAATATTTTGAGGGGAGAATTTCAGCCAAAACAGTACAGCCGCTTCCAAGAACAAGGCTAGGGAAAAGTAATAAAATAATAAAATGTGGTGACCTTTTCTCTGAAAAGTCTAGGACCCCCATGCTTTGGAGCAAGATCTTGAAATTTGTCATAGGGGTAGCCTTTGTGTCAAGGATGTGCCTTTTGCTGTTCCTGTGGAAATCCACCCAATTTTGGCGTCCTGTGGCATCTTTAAGACTAACAGATGTATTGGAGCATAAGCTTTCATGGGTGAATACCCACTTCGTCAGACGCATGACGAACACTGTCAATACTGGTTCTCCACTTGCGAAGTAACTCCCTGCTCTCCATGTGTCAGTATATAATGCCTGCATCTGTAACTTTCACTCTATGCATCTGAAGAAGTGAGGTTTTTACCCACGAAAGCTTATGCCCAAATAAATCTGTTAGTCTTTAAGGTGCCACCAGACTCCTTGTTGTTTTTATGGTCCTCAATGTTTTGCTCTTAAGGCTCATGTGGATTTTACGGATTCTAAGGGGGAGTCCATATAACTGACTGTGTTTCCATTCAGTTTGCCAGGATCACAAACACTTATCACAATGGCCAGTTATGAGGCTCCCTGATTTTTGTCTGCCAGGCAAAACGAGGAGTGCTTAGCAGACAAACATATCCATGTGAGAGCTATTGTTCTCTGTCTCCCAGCCCCATTTTCCCACTACAGGTAAGGATGGAACTCACATCCAGGAAAGTAGGGGAAAGAGCAGAGATACCGCTCTCAGTTGCCAGGAGGTAGGGAGAAAGAGAGAAGAGTGCCAGCAGCTGAGGAGATGAGGTTGAAAAAGAATGCTAAATGTACCTCTCTGTAGCACTTAGACTTTTCTGTCTGAAAGACACAATGTCAAATATAGATGCTACTCTGACCAAAACAACACAATGCAAGCATATCACAATGCAATAATTTCATGGTTCTCTATAACTTCAGTCAAAGGACAAAATGGCTTCTCAGCTGTTAAATGCCACCAATGAAATACAGGAGAGTTTTAAATCAAAATTTTTTTAGTTGCAAATGTCACAAGGGAACCTGGGTTTTTGAAAAATGTTAGCAACTTCTGAGGCTGGTAGGTCTTGTGTGGAAATGAAAGCATCACTGAAGACAAGGCCACTTAGCACTCTCTCATTGCCTGGCAAACATCTCATTATGCAGCCCATTTTCTTTTCTATTTTCCATTATTATGCAGAATGTGCCCACTAAAGGCTGAAAGAGAAATTGGCTGATATAAAAATACAGAGCTCTGGGAATTCAGCTGCAGAGGTTTTAAAAAAATATTTGCATTAGTTTCACAGATGAGTTGTGAGTAGGTAAGGGAGTGAAGGTCAAGTTTTGTCACTCTTTCCTCCCACTTGATCCCTCTAACCTATCCACTACCTTGTCTGCATACTTGGAAAAAATAATATTTAAATAGCATTCTTGTGGGTCTAAAATGCACCTCCCTAACCAGGAAAATACTTCAGTTATTTTCCTTTTTTTTTAGCTCTCCCTCCACCTCCCTGATATCTTATTTGCTTTTACTAGCCAAAGCTGGTGATAGTGTACTTGAAAGAATAAATAGTATGTGGTAATTTAAATAAGAAGTAAAAATGAATGCAAGGAGCTGGCGTCTATAAGCTTGAAACCTATAGGGGAGCCCTGGAATTATGTCTTAAGTAAATAGTCTAGATTGTAAAATGTTTTTAGAACCAACAGTGAATATAGATGGTGCTGTACTTTATACAGTGTGTGAAACCCATACAAGATACAACCCTGAATAGGCAGCAGCTGGCAAGATAGCAGCCACAAACACCTGCAGATTACATAGTTGAACATGTGCAGCTGGGTTCCAACTTCCTCATGCGTGGAGGACTCCTGTAGCCCTTTGAAGATCCTAAATTCCCCAGGTTCCCCTCTTGTTCAGAGGGCCCAAAGAGATCCTGTTCTGTGCCACTTTTTCCCTGGCCTGGTATGTTTTACAGCCCTCCTGGCTTCCCAAAGTCATCTTCCCACTAACGCCCTGACTCGACTGCTCTTGCAGGTTCCACACCTAGATTCCTGCTTCTGTTCCCATATTTGCTTCCCTGCGGACATGTTAAAATCTGCACAAGTTGTCGTGGCCCTCAGTAGAATGCACTTCTGGTCCACTCCTCCTGCTGACTTCTGTTTGCAACACATCCTGTGGACTTTAGAAGGTCTGTAGGGAGGCCAACCTGAGAGTGGGAACAGGAATCAAAGTTTAGTGTCTCTAGGGCTAATGGGAGCTGACTCGTGGAAACTTGGAAGCATGCAGCTCCTGATTGCTACAAGAGTTACCTGCTCTCCGCTTTCCCCCTCATGTCCAGTGATCTGCAGAGTCCTCTCCTGTTGTCTTTCCCAGTTCCAAAGCTCAGGAGTACCACAGGGTATTGTGCTTCCTTTTTCCCTATGCAAGTAATGAACGTTCAAAATTGTAAAAATAACTCAGACCAAAAAAGACAATTTCCAGACAAAACCTTCATGTAGCTGGAACTCTGACTGAGAGCTCCCCACTTTCAAATGTTTAGGTTTCTTTTCTGTTAAACTTTGAACTTCCTAGGTTGCTAATGGTTGGTGTTTTTGATAACTATATCTGCATTTTTAAATTTTACTCTAATGTTATTGCTATGTACTGTCAGCTTTAACCTCAGCTTAATGATGTTTTTGTCTGGGACACTGGTTATTGTTGACATCCTGCAGTTTATTTTGACAGTCAAACAATGACACTGAATTTTAGAATAATGATTGTTATCAAGCATTGAACATTATTGCAAATACAGCAATGTGGAGCACACCATGGTGGGGTGAACGCCAGATGGTCTTAGACTGTCTTTGTATTTCCCATTTACACAGCCTCCTTGCTCTTTGCCCCCTAGTGGCCACTCTAAACAGTCACAACTAACACTACGGGGAGGATCCTGACCGGTCTTCTTAAAGGCCTTGTTCACCTTCACTCCATTTCAAATGACAAAAGATGAATATTATGCTGTTAGTATCCCTACAGTCAGTATCGTTTTCAGGATGCAAGCCTAAACATTTCTGGCAAGGTGCCAAACAATATATACGACACCCTTGCCACGCAATTTTCTGCCGGCCTGTTTTACAAAGACACTGCTGGACAACATGAAGAAACAGAGTTGGATGGAGGGAATCTAGGGTTTGTGAGGCGTGCAAAGCTGACGGCCGAGAGCAGAACGGTAGAGCTGCTGGGCTATTTACACAGCGACCTGTTTTTTCAAGAAAAACTTCTTAAATGGAGTGGATGTGAAAAT